AGTTTGTGTTTTAGTTTCATTTCCAATTCGAATTTCATTTCATTTTACGCTTAAATTCTGTTTTGTCCGTTTTGATTGGGTTTGGACATTTCTCCTCTGCTCTGCTCTGCTCTTCGTTTTCGTTTTCGTGTTCGTTTCTTTTCTTCTCTTTTGGGGGGTTTTACCGCTTCGGTTCGTTTTAGTGGAATTACTTGGTCCATAATAGATGAGTCTGGGACTCGTTTGCGACGCCAGCGGGCAGCCTCGCATAGAAGGCGTGGCACGTTGCTTGATACTGCAGCAGCCAGCAGCAGGCAGGCAGGTGAGTGGAAAGTTCGGTGAAGAGATTTTTCTACCGTTGCACTTGCTGGGGAGGTAGGAGATGAAGGGATCCGTAGTTGGTTTTAAGCCAATAATTGCATTAATCAGCTATGAAGTAAACATCGATCTGCAAAACGAATTGGAATAGGGATAGAATATGAAGTAGTTGCATAAGTCAAACAATATCAAGTTTCTGTTGATCAATTTTCTAGTCACTTTATTTCTACTAATCTTTGGTATTTTCCCTTACCACAATAATCCTTTTCTTGTGAAATTTCAAATAAATATTTCTCATTGATATATAAAATCAAGTTCCCCTCTAATTTCTTTCTTACATTTCTACATCTTCCTTTTGTTCCACATTTTTCTCTACCTTCTTGTTCTTGCTTCTTTCTTCTGCCATTTCCCACTCTGCATTTACTTCTTGTAGACTGTTGCAGGGTGCTGGGTGAAATTTATGTAATTTATATGGGCACTTGACGTCTAAATTGGCTGCAGAGCTGCACCCCCCTGACTAACTACCTCCCATCCCTCAGCACCACAGTCAGCCCACATCTTACCCCTCTCAGTGCCATACCCCTGCCACTCCGTCGTGGAGCACGCTTTGCTGCCACTTTTTATATCATCTACTTAGCCTTAATGGCAAATAATTAATTTCCAGCTTCCGCTTTTGCCGCTGCTTCTAGACTTGTTCTACGCGAAAAGCCATCAGGCCACCTCCTCCCACGTAGTAAATGGCCGACTGCAACGCCTCCCATGCCCATCCCCATTCCCATTCCCATCCCCAGCCAGCTGCCTCCTCCCACTGCTCTTTCCTGGCCCTGGAACGACCATTTTCAATTTACAAATTGCTTATTTTTCGAAAACCAAATTGCGAGTGCCTTGGACTTGGACCAGAAACCAGGAAGAGGACCACGACCAGTGCCAGCCTGTAACTGGATCCGGGACCTGGACGAAGAGGCAGCAGAAGAAGAAGAAGCAGAAGCAGTTAATGCATTTTACGTGCGGCCACAGTCCATAGCAGAAAGGGGCAAGGGTGAGGCGTGTAATGGTGTGGCGTGGCATGGCCGTTATGTGCTGCGGCGAAGGCTTCTCAATTACGTTTATAAATTTTCCAGGCCCCAAAAATGGCGCAGCCACCGAAAATGAATAGCCTGAGAGAGAGAGAGGAAGATGGCACTCTCTTTCCATTTGTGGAACCAACCAAACAGAGTCCATTCTGCCCCACCAAAAGTGAAATTTTATTAACTTCTTTTAGGCCAAATTGCATTGCGGTTTATTTGAAGGCCAGCCCCGGTCCCCCAACCAATAAATTCCCCGCTACTTCAGATCCCCTCACAGCGTATTCTTACCCCTCCTCAGCAGTTCGCTCTCTGCTCCTGAGCCATTGAACGATTCCCTTTTATTTATGATGCGACATTTCAACTGAAACTCGTAGGCATGAAAAGAGGCACCCAGAATTTATTGGCGACATCAAAAATTGTTTTATATACACTGAAAGAAATTATTAAAGTTTCATTGAAGCCCTCCAGCAGTTTCTTCATTCCCAAAAATATTATATTGAACTGTTTTTCCTCTCGATCTTTAGCTTGTCTCAGTGTAGCAGCAGTTGCCACGCCCACTGAGCCATGGCACTGGCTAACCAAATGGCTAAACATGACCAAGACGCTTTTATGGCCTACGCATCCTTTGGCTGAAAGCTCGAGTACGGAATCCCTCCACTTAGGCCGCCTTTGCAATTGGCCGTAATCGAGGGGGTAATGGGCGTAGGGATAAATGGTAATCGCTCTATGAAATGCCCAAATAAAATAAATGGCTAAACAGAATTAGAGTGAAAGGAGCCAAAGGACCAATGGATGTCTGTACGAGGAGCAGCACATTCAAAGTTATTTATTCTTTTGGGCAGTACAAAGTCAGTGGGGAATTTTTTATTTATGGATGCGCTTACTTTTACTTAAGTATTTCCAGCCATAACTGGTAAATATTTGATTTATGATGGGTATTACTTGTATTTCGTTTTTATTGAATGAAAAGAATTGACAGGGGACTTCGTTTTCTAAGGGCTTTTTTCTCTTCCTTTTTTAAGAAGGAAAATGCTGGTAATAAATGGAAGAAAGAAATTCTGAGAAAATTTTGAACTGAACTATTCCCCTCGATTCCGATCTCCCTCCCATTATAGTAAAAGTTTTCTTCGAGAGATCTTTTGATCGCCATCTTCCTGCTTTCTCTCTCACCCACACGCTTCAATAACTAGCCATAATTCCGTTAAATGACTTGCTTTCTCTCTCGCTCCTTCCACCCACACACATCGCTGCTGTTCTCTTGCTCTTTCGCTCTCACCGAAAAGCCAACAAAATCAATTAAAAGCGCAATTAATTTGTTTGACAGCTGAAGAAAAGAGACGCCGAGCTTTTTGGCTAGATAAAGGGAGTGGTGGCAGGAGAGGAGGCCAACGGCAGTGACCGGGAGAGGGTTGAGTGTGAATGGGTGATGTGGGAGAGAGTACCGCACCGTACCAGGGAAAGCTCTCTTCATCTCGTTCTCTGTTGTTTGTTTGCATGATTCTGTCGGAATAATAAAAGTAATTTAATTTTAATGAAATTGTTAATACGAAAACAATTTCATTTTGTAAAAAGTTTTTGCGCAGTCGGTTCTGGCAGTGGGAGCGCCGTGGGAGGCAGCGTGGATGAATGACAGGATGATAGCGAAAGACGGAGAAAGAGCGGGGGTGGCAGCTCAAATTGCTCGTGACAATACGCAACACACACACACACACATGCTACGCAGACAGTGAGACAATAAGCAAAAGCGTGCGAGGAAAAGAGAAAGATAAAGCCAACACCAACAAACAACAACAAAATGAGACGCCGATGCTTTTGATACCCTTGCAGATCTAGCGTTCCCTTGGGTGCCGTGTGACATGACATAATCCGATTATGAAAAATTATTGCAATAACATTCTTGAAAATTATAAAACATTTTGGTCTGAATAACTAAATTAATTAAGCAATTAAGCATTTCGTTTTCTTGTACTGTTCTGCTTGGGAAACATCTGATCAAAGCCAAAAACCCTATCCCAAGAGGTGGATTATGTACACGTAACAACAACAAAGACAAATCAAATATGCCGTCGGAAGAGCAAAAGGCACACAAGACCGTAACACACAAGCGAATGGCTGGAGGAAAGCATAGTGCCAGAGAGAGAGAGAGAGAGTTTGTGAGGGAGATGGAAAAAGAGCCAGAGAAAATACGAAAAATGAAATGCTGATGCGAAGATTTAATAAATGAAATTGGTGTGTGATTAAAAACACAAAAACCAAACGAAATCCATCTAATCAACTTTTCCTGCCCCCCCTTCCCTCACACTCTTGTTCTATATATTTGTCTCTTTTTAACGTTCTCTCTCTCTCTCTTCACGTGGATAGTGGGTGGGGGTAATGGGAGCCTATTTCTTGAAACGCCTTCTTGAGGGAAATGATGATGAGAGAGATTCCTTTGGCTTTTTCCTTTGGGAAATTTTTCAGCAAAACCCGATCAATTTGTCCCATATATTTGATAAGAAAATTTATAGTTTCTTATACATATTTTACTGTCAAATCTATTTTATTTAAATACTATTAATGCGGAAAAATCGGTTCCAAAATTTCCCTGTTTTGGTACTTTTTCTCTCTAGCTCCGCCCCCATTTTTGTCGATAAAATGGTCGTTGGCTGAATTCGCCAAATAGGCTTGCAGATGGCGCCGCAAAAACACCTTGTCTGGCGCCCTCTGTTTTAAAATTTGATTCACAAGAGATGGCGCCACCGAAAAATGTAAAAATACAACCGAAACGCCCGGGGGCGCCACTGGGAAAATGTGTTTCAATCTGAATCTATCGATTTTGAACACTCCGCTTTGAGATGGGCATGTTTATTAACACGATCCAGCACGGCATGAAAATTCAAATTTCATTAACAATTTAAATGTATATTCCACATTTAAGATTGTTTAGGACGGAACATTTAATTTTCGCAACCACATTTTTATGCACAAAGAAAATACGGTCCATGGACACCCTTCCTCCGATTAACGAAACATTTCAGTAAAAACAATAATAATATGTATGTATAAACAATAATCATTTTTTATACAAATTAACTCCATCTGCTAACAAAGTACGTTTAATAATGATTAAAACAAAGTTTTCCACCTAAAACTAAATCCTTCATAGAAGTGGAAATAATCCGATAATAGAGGTTTTAGGATTAATATTGATTGGAGAATGATTTAGTATAACCGAATGCGACCTGCTCTTGACCGACTTTCAAGGTAAGCCGCGGATATACAGTAGCTGCCAGCAGTAAACGAACATCCAAAAACCACGCCATGATTGATACAATCGATTTGTTCCACCTGATTTGCAAGAATCAAAATTCTACCAGTTTCGTTAAAGGCAAGGTGAGGCATGCCCAGCAACGCTCTCATTTTACATGCTTTGTTTAATTTAACCACACATCATACGAGCATTTTGAGTAAAAGCCTCACCATGTCTAAATCAACCTTTGCTACCTGCTGCTATTGCTCTCCCTCTCTCAATCAGCTCTGTTTGCTCCACTCTCTATACTCTCCACTCTCTGTTTTTCTGATGTTTTGCGGGCTCCAACGGCTCCAACGACTTTGCCCAGTGCGCCGCGTTCTCATTGTGCTTTTTCTTTTGGTCGCGTTCGCTTCTGTCCCACCGAAAAACGGTGTGAGCGTGGGTGTGTGTGCGTGTCTGTGCTCTCTTCTAGTTGCTGTGCGTTGTTTTTGTTCTACGCGCTAGCTAGGCTAGTCGTACGATCTATCTAGGCTCCAACTCTCGCAGAGTGAGCGAGAGCATGTGTGCTCGATTCTTAGTGCTATTCCATATGTGCAACTATTTACCGTAAAATGTAAAGCCTAGCGAAAGAAGTATAAAAATGTTAATTTAAACAAATGCAAAAACCCTAATGACGGAACAAAGTTCATAGAAAAATGCAGTAAAATCATGTGAATGCAGTTTTATAGTTAGACGGGCAGAGTGAGAAAGAGAGAGGGAGCGCAGCGCACGCTCTCATACGTTTGACATTTTAGTAAACGTTTTAGTGGAAAATTAATAAGTTAAAGAGCTTTGGCTTGCATTGAATTAAACATTCGTTCCCCCCTTCTGACACAGCTGCATCATGACGCATTTTGTAGGAGATTTTCCACTTGACAATGGAAAACTCCAGAGATCCTCTTCTTGGACGTGGGTTTTAGCCCAAACTTGTCTGATCTCTCTCACTCTCTTAGTCGCCCTCTGAAACAACTGCATTTTTGCGTCGCATTTCCTTCTTTTGCTGTTGTTTCTCCTGCTGCCTGGCAGTCTTCCTTCCCCTCTCCACCTTCCTTTTGTTGCTGTTGTTTGGCACACAATTTTTTTCCAATTTGTGCGCCTTCGCTGCTGTTTCTGTTTCTGTTTCTGTCTCGCCGCCGCGGATCTATTTTTAGCCACAGTACTGTTGTTGCTGTAGGATTGTTGTTGTTGGTTAACTACGCTACGCTGGCAGCAGCAGCAACAAACTATGCAGAGCGCCAGAGAAAACAATCGAGTAAAAGAGCACAAGAGTGAATAGTACAGTTGGGCTTCGAAAGACGGAAACTAGCCCTTGGAGAAGTTTACTGTACTCTAGAGTAAAAAGTGGAAAAAATGAGCAAATAAATGTGTTACAGACTGTAGTGCCACGTGAGATGTGAAACAGTTCGTTGTATACAAGTCGAATGTCCACTGTAGTTTTGACTCGAACGATAACAAAAACAGGCAGAGAAAGAGTGAGAACGGGAAAAGAGCGCGCGAGTGTGTCACACAGTTGGACCTCGACTGTGAAGATCACAGTGCAATATTATTTAGGGGAATTTGCTGTACGGTGAAACGTGAGGTGTCAAATATCAAATATCAAAAACCAATAAATTATTAAATTTTTTGTGGTTTGTGTCGCAAAGAGTTCCGTTATACGTATGTCCACTGTACCTTTGACTCAGGTGATAACAATAACACAACGAGTGCGAGCAAGACAATCCACTAATACACTTGTTTGATCGCTCTCTCTCTCTTTCCCTCTCTCTCTCCGTCAGTCTCTCTCATCTGTCATTCGCGCTCTCTGTCTAATAACATTTACATTTTAATGCCCAATTTCATAGAAAATCAAGTGGAAAAGACACGCGAGAAAAGTGAAACAAGAAAACAAAAGTGCAGCAATTGATGAGGCTCTCTGGCCTGCACTCGCCTTAATTTTGTGCTTCCTGTGGAATTAACGGAGAGAAAAAGCAAAGCGTAAAAGCGAAATGAGAGCGTGAGCAACAAGTGGAGGCAGACCAGACAGACGCAACTTTCTTCTGGCAAAAGCCGGCTGAGCGGGAGCCCGCCGCCCCAATCATCCATCAAAAGCAGGCGTAGAAGAAGAAAAACGTGCAAAGAGGAAACGGATCAGGAGAGAGCGGGAAGAAGATCATACTGAGCGCTCTTCTTGTTTTGGCTCTGGAATTTCATCAACATGTAAGCTTCCTATAAAATTTACCCTGTATTTTTAAGGTATATCCACGAATCGTACTCGAATAGTGTGTTTGCTGGGGAAATATGATACGATGTGTTTTTTTCTGCTGTGACGTCATCGCTGACGTGAAGCCGTATGTAACATAGGTATCCCTTAGTCGTTACCACGCAATATTTCCCTTAATACTCGCTTTAATATGCAATTATTGTCCGTTGCCTGGTATTTGCTCAACAGCGGCATTATTTATTTATGGATTTATGCCGCCTACAAATTTCCGATTGCACAATCGACAACAGATCGGGGCGGTGTTTGCATATGAACGACATAGCATGACTGTGTGTATGTTTGTATGTACGACCCGGCTTGTTCGAGCGCCCTTAAGTCGCTGTGCTTGCCCTTCTGCCTGCACTGAATAATCAATGGAGTAGAGGAGACGAGACCCAAAGCCCTTGAATACCCCTTGAGTATTTGAAGGGGTGGGAGCATATTGGGTGGAGTCATATTATGGACTATTTAGTATTTAATATATTTTGGAAGCCAGATCATTAAAGATTTGAAAAACATTAAATTGTATAACAAATAAAAATCATCTATAATAGGGGGTACACACCGCAAGGATATCTAGGGATATTTCTTCATGTGCCACGTAATGCCTTGCGGTTTTATAGCTCTTTCATTACATGGCACATTCGAAGCGATCCATAGTTGATCCCGCAGAACGAACAAAGCACGTTGTTGATTTGTTTTTCGCTTTGTTTGCTTCGATTTTATTTATAGAATTTCTGTCATAAAGTTTAGCAAACAAATGAACAAACCAACCAGTGAAAAATCGCTGACTGTTTCAATTTGTTTTCGTTGGATTTTCGGAGTGGTGTGGGGTTTTGGGGTGTCGGGTGTGGTGTGGTGTGTCTGTCTGCCTTACAACTGCGCAGATTTCAAGTGTAACATTATTTATGGGGCCTTCATTCGTACTCTTTGCGAGCGAAAAAATCCCTTATCTAAGGAAAGGCTGGGAGTTGCACAACAGCTGTCACCCAAATGAAAAGAAATTACAGACTTTATTTGAGTAAATAAATTGCTTTTTGCCTTGGAAATTCTAAATGTTTTTCCATACAATCGCACTCGTATATTTTCAATGTTAAGTCGCAATTGGAAAAATCGTTAACAGGGTTCTGAATTTCATGGTAATTCCATTTTATCTTGAGGCGGGAACTGCATTTAGAAATGGGACACAAGGAAGTGTTTTGCAATAGAATGACAAAGAATAAAGTTCTTTGTGTGACAAAACAAGGAAATCAATGGTCACCGCGACAGGCAGTACCTTTCTTGGTAATAGATTTTAGTTTAGCTAAAGAAAAATCTCTCAAAATCTCTTTCCGTGCATGAGGTTTTGCATGTTCCATTCTCTATTTCACGAATTCCATATTATTTGTATTTATTTTAATTTGTAGTAAACAACGTTTCGAATTTGAATTCGTTTCTGTTTATCGCTCATCTCATATCACTTGGCACTGGCGTTCGCTGGCATTTCCATTCCGCATAATAAATAAACAAAGTGTCGGATCGTCAGTTTGCGCAGTTCTTAGATTTCCCCCTTCGTCTAACTGATTCGCCCTGTCCAAGAAAGAATCTCTTCTTTCGTTTCTTTCTCGTCTGTTTTTTATTGGTGCCCCCAAGACGTGCCCCCTTTTAAGGTCGAGTTTCAAATTTATGTCCAATTTGCAATTTTAACAAAAGGAAAATCAAGGAACATAGAAAGCCAATAAACTTCGTAAAATGAAACACCTGAAATCAAGTTATGCATATTAATGAAAGCTTAATATTTAAAATGGGTTTCGAAGAGCGCAAACTTAAGAGAACTTTGTTGCATGCCATATTTACTCTTTGCCGTTTCGGCTCTCTTCTCTTAGCGCCCACTTCCCGTTCTCTTTGATCTTGGCAAAACAGCTGTATAATTTGTGCAGAGAGAAAGAGAGAGCTTTTTGAAAGCTATTTAAGAAAACGTGCTGCCAGACAGTTTTAACTTGCCCAGCTGATTTCTTTGGCGGATAATTCAAATTTAAAACATTTATTTCTTCTTAATACAGTTGAAAGTTGAAAGAGCAGCATTGAACAGCGTGAGACTTCAAAATAATTAAATATCATTTTAGCTGGAAAATGGAATGTAAAAATATTGGGAAAAAATATTAGAATAATAGCAAAAAATAGTTATTTCACCATAGTTTGACTTTCTTTTAGTCATCTTTTCCGCATTTATAGATTTTCCACTGGCCCACACCCACTTACAGTGGGGCGTGTGTGTGTGTGCGATTTCTGTCACTCCATTGTATGGCTGTGGCGCTGTTGCCGCCCAAATAACCTTTCGATTGCGCCAATTAAATATTAAATATATTGTATAATTATTACCCATACGAGGTACGCTCCACTCCACTCGCAAATCGAGACACGACGCCTTATCAAATGTCGCCAATGTCGCCGCCGCCGCCGCCGAATGCACACTAAAATACAACAAAGAGAAAACAACCGGCTATCGATGGGTCCCCAGGGGCGTAGGGATCAGCAAAATTTGAGGGGAAGCTGTGAGTCACCCCCCTACAGTGAAGCCTCTGGCAGTGACTGCAATCAAAGCACGCAACGAACCATTAAGATAGAGATTTAAATGTATCTGTATCTTTTGCGAGAGTTTCCATTGGATTTGCATGCGAAGTAATTGAATAATATTTTGATATTTACATAAAATCACGTCCCACGTGAAATTACTATTCGCATGTCTGCCTTTCCCCTTACCCCTCTCTGACTGTATATTTTTCTTCCACTTTCTTGATAATATTTCCAGTTGCAGTCGTAATATTGTTTATAATACATAAATCAGTTGCCCCTAAACGCTGCTTTTCGCATGACTGCAGCGCCATGAAGCGGCAGCAAATCGATTGCAGGGAACCGGCTTTTATGATTATGACATAAAAGGAAAGAGAGAATAGGGAATAGAAAAAGAGAATAAAGAGAGGGAGAGCCAGGCTACGACTGTAGCGAAATCGGGGCATAGGATCACATTTGATTTATAAAGTTCGATCGCCGCAATAAATTAGCCATTGAGTGCGTACACCATAAAGAATTCTCTTGTGGAAATTGGTGTCAATTTCCCGCAGGCTTTCGACACTGCGTATGCGTGATATTTTTCTTGAAAGCCAAATTCAAGCAAATAATGCCATGAAATATGAGAATAAAGGCCATGGGTCTTAAATAGAGACATTAAATTCAATTAAGGCACAAAATGGTGAGATAAAAACAAGAAAAATAAATGGGATTAGCAGCGGAATTATGGGTAAACGAAGTTGGTGTTACTTTTGCTTTCCTTTAGATACAAAGATATAGAGATATATATTATTTTATTCAAATAAGAAACCCTGTGGATCGTAGCATCAATTAAGATGTCAACTGGCATATCCTTTAAATCAGCAACGAAGTTAAATGCTGGCCCCCAGCGATCTGGCAGCGATCTGCGATCTCATAAATATGCAAGTAGGGTATCCATAGGACAGGACACCCCATGCCGTAGCACGAAGAACGTGGAACGTTGTGTTTGTGCCACTGGTTGCATGAAGGTTCTCTAACGCTTTTGCTGCTGCACCGAAACGCTTTTCATTCTACTTCGATACTCCATTGCATGCTGTCGAGCAATTAGATTGTCAATGGAAATGCACTTGTGGAGTGTGTGTGTGTGTGTGTGTGTACTTTTAGCTGGCAGTGTCTGCTGCGTAGCTACTATTATTATTTGGATTTAAGCGATCTCTGGGCAGCGGCAAACGCACGAATCAGAGACCACCAGCCACAAGGCGTAACTTACTTCCAAAGATCAAACATGTGTTGGAGAGTGCGTGTATCTGTGTGTACCTTTTCTGTTTGTGTGCATTTCAACTGGTTTTTTTCTTAGCCAAATTGCGAGTTTTAATTTAAACGACAACCACACAAACGAACGAAACCGAAACGGCAGACGTAAACGCTTCTGGGGTTCACTTCGATAACAAACAACGTTTGGAGCAATCGCTGTCGCTGTCAACGCTGTCTCTCTCCCTCTCCCTCTCCCTCTCTCTCTCTCTCGCTGCCACAGTCAACGTCGTTGAGTTCTCTGCTCTGCCACAAACAACTATCGATAGCCGCCTCTTACGATCGTCGCCGGAACACACGCCAATCCCTCGATTCATTTCTCGAGCGACGCTCAAACGGTTTACAACGGATCGGAGAGTTTTCCCCCAAGCGACGCCCCGACTCGACTCTACTCACTCACCAATTAATTAAAGATACTCCGTATCCGTATCCAACAGATCGTTGCGTATCCACAGAATCGCGTCTCGATCGTACGTGTGTGCGTGTGTGTGTGTGTGTGTGCAATCCTCTGGTGCTTTTTTCTACCTCGTTTGTGTGGTGTTCATTAAAAGTGCAAATTGTTTACGAGAATTTTGCTGCCTCTCGAAAGGTAATTTCCTTTTACGTTTCCCATCAGCGTCCCGTCCCAGGCGTGCAATTTTCCTTAATCGAGTGTCTGCGTATGTGTGAGTGTGTATCTGTGTGTGTGTGTGTGTGTGTAACGTTTTAATTAATGCCTGAAAGCAGAGGCGAAGAAAGAGTGAGGGAAAACCCATAGCGAAGAGAAGAGTGACAGCTCCTGCAGATGACAGTCATGTGACAGGCCACCAGGCATTCGAATGTCTAGCTGCAAGATACTTCACGGATACCCAGTAGCCGCCAACTGTCATAACGCATGATGAGGGGCACTGGCAGGGGGTTGGTGGCGCGTTCTGTGGGGTCCATCAACCATTGCTCCAATTGGAGCCCCCAAGAATGGTTGTGCCAGTGGGTTTTCCTATAAAGAGTTACAAATGTGACAGACCGAGACCGAGACGCGAGATGCTTCATTAGATGGATGATCATCGCTTGGAGGATCATTAAGGAATGCATTAACAACTCTATAAAGGCTGTGAACACATGAATGATCATCGAGGATCGCATTGAAATGTCGAAATTCGTAGGAAACTAACTGATTGAGGAATGCCTTTGCATCTCTATATCAATATGCAGATCTCAAGATAGAAATATAGTTATTAGGCCTTCTGAATGGGAATTCTCTGCTGACTCTGAGGAAACTTATTTAGGAATGAATTAAAAACTTGATTTTGTTTGCATAAACCAGGGACCATACGGGCGAATCAGTTGAAATGCATGAGAAGAGCGTGAAAATTGTTTAACAAATGCTTAAAGAAATGTTTTACCCGAATAATCATTGTGGAATCCTCTAAAAGCTGTTCTCCATATAATTCTTCTTTTCACATTTGTCCCATCTTTTTATCTACGCTTAAATTTTTATTCATTATTCAAACATTTTTCATCAGAACACTTTTTGATGACTCTCGAAAAGACGTGTAAAAAATTTATGCGATTAGAACTTGTTTTGGGTCACGAGCGGCTTTCTCAGAAGGTTTCTTGGTTAAGAGTGTTTAATGGTGTTAATGGTGTAATAATTGTCATGTTGAAATGTCAGCCGCTTGATGGATCTCTAAATAAGCGTGGAGAATGCTGTAAGGATCGCAGAGCCGGCCGGGCTCTGACATTCATTCTACGAACATATCACCGATTTTTTGTTGTTTTGGAACATATAGAATTGTTGGGGCATAATAAGTTAGACCATGAATAATAATGTTAACCAAAGATTTTGTTCCATTTTTAATGGAAAAGCCCCTGAAGTCCGCACTGTTAGCTGTTAAAGAATTCCTGTAGCTTTTTGTACCATTTTATGTCCGTGAAAGACCCTCTTCTTATGCATTCAAGGCACTCCCATTCACCTGCTGCCTTAACCCTTCCACCAACCTCTGAAAAATCGCTTTAAATTCAAGTTAAAGTAAACCAAAAAGCAGTCCCGATCCGTTTGGTTCCTGCTGTGCAAAGGTTTTAATTGATCGAACGTGCGTTTCATACCAAATTGCTGTGAGCATTCGTCCAATTTTCGCCATAGAAACTGGCGTCGGCGTCGGGTATCGAATGTCTCCATGGGTATCCCATAGATAGAAGTACGAATACGCGCAGAATGAGCACACTTAATGCCTGCAACTAAACCAGCTAAGAGACCAGCAAAAATCAACCTGCCAAACGATCGAATGACTGTTTTCTGTCGCGTATCTGAATGTCTTTTTCGTGTTATCAGGCGATCAATTGCCTGAGGCCAGAAGCCAGGGGACGAGGCAGTCGCAGGCATAGCGATCGATCGATCAACGGACGTGTCGCCGGGACTAATGAACATTTGTAAAAACCCAAAAATAAACGATAAATAAAACTACAAACTAAAGCAGAAAACTGAACCCAAAAACTATGGCAATAAATTACACAGATATAAAAGATATAAAGTAAAGAATAGCTCTTATATTTTTGTTGGTATTCGAACTAGGAATGCCCACTACTATAGATATAGATATTTTAGCAGAGGGAATAGCTCTTTCTTTCATTGATCATTCGATTTGATCCTGTTTAAGGGCTGTACATGAAGACAGAGAGCCGGGACACACTGAATATCCCATTCCATTGCTTTATTCTATTCCTTCGACTCCCACCCATTCACCCTTCCACTCCTGCCTCTACAGGGTATCGTTCCATTACACAGTAACAAAATACTAATGAGCGATGATCTTGGGCCTCGACTTGAAGTACACAGATTTTGCGTAAATTATTTGCCCATTTGCGTGCGGGGGTCACCGGTTTGTGTTGCTCGGGTCACGACGGGGTTTCGTCGCGGTGTTGTCAACGCTTGCAATTCCATAAGAATTTACGAGCAGAGGCACGAGATTCAACGTCGAATTTGTATTACAATTTTATTGATTACAAAACACACGACACAGAAATGTTGAAAAACACAAACAGAAATAACTGCACGGAATCGAACGGAAAGTGGCATGAAATTCCAGATCCCGAGACAATCAATTTGTGTTTATTTTGTGGCAGTGGAGTGTAGCGTAGACAATTCTTGTTTCGATTTCGAGCACAAGGAAGCAACTTTTGAGCATCTCTATCTGTGTGCCCCAATATGGCTGACATCACTCTCTCTCTCTCTCTCTCTCTGTCTCCTCTCCTCTCCAATTGATGTCTCAATTTTCCACTGTGTGTGTGTGTGGAGCGGAAAAGATGTTCAGTCGCTGAATAAATGCTTAATTATGTTTTAAATGATTCGAATGCGTATGGCATTTTTGGCATGCCCCCATGCCCCATGCCCCATGCCTGCCCCATTATGTTGTTTGTCTCCTCTGAGACTCTCGGCCTGACAGCTGGGACACTTGCCATGTGGGCTTTGGCTCCTCCGAAATGATCGTGAATGTCAGTTTTGATTAGCAAAATGACGTTGGGAATGATGATGATGATGATGACAATTTGCTGAAAAGCGAAAGAAATTGTTTGCCGCACAGATTTAAATATTTGCTTTTGGGAATTGATTTTGATGGATGGATGGATGTCAAAGATGTTTGGAAATTAATTTTACATAGGATTTGATGCAATTTAATGGCTAAAATTATGGCTATAAAAGGAAGCCTTATTGAGCACACAGAAAAGTTGTTGTCTTGGAATACCAGGGAATCAGGGAATCCGGGAATACTATTCCAAGCTTGTAAAACAACTGCCTTGAGATTGTATCTACAGAGTGTATCTAAACCTGTTGCATCCATCCTATCGCTGATCATAATGACACACTAATTGCGCGTATCTTTCAATCTTAAACGCCTTCGTGCGCTGCTGCTCACAGATCAGGGATTTCTACGAGAAGTCACGCCGCAGCACAGAGAACTTCCCTAAATGGTCAAAGCTACAGATATAATATAAAATCTATTTATATATACGATTCTCCGGCATGAGTTTTGACTGTGTTATCAGTGGCATGAATGAACTCACGATCGATTCGATGTTAATACCCTCACTGCTGAAGCGGGCCAAAAACCGAGTTGACATTCAACGCAAAATGTAGTCGTTTATAAATGTTTTCATAATACTAATTAAAAGAGGAGAGAGAGCAAAAACGATCGAAGGAAGGAACCTGCTTGCCACCAGAGTTGCCATCAGAATCATTTAAATTACAATAAAAATATAAAATCATTTAAAATATTACGAGAGTCGACTGGTGCTGTCTTTCGTTTGGTTTCCTTTTTTATTTATGGCCACGAGATGGAAACAAATTGCAATCGTAATTGCGCTTAAGTGGCAGCAGCAGAGAGAGAGAGGCGGCTGCCAGCAAATTCATTGACAGACATACACAAAGATACAGATACATTTAAAGTGGGGGGGCCACCCGTCAATTGTATCTATAAATAAAAGCCGAAGCGTCTCTCTGTTCGGGCTTTGAAGCTCTTCTTCCATCAATTGTTTCAATTTGTTTTTCTCACTGGAGTGAAAACTGTCACTATTTTGGATCGGTGTGTGGAATTGCATTTAGAAAACATTTTGCGGGTAATTACCCATCGATAATTGCCCGCATTTTGTGGGGCTCGTAACTCTCGTATCTTGTATTTTTTGTAGCACTCAATGTCGATATTCCCGCCATTGTTTATGGAGTGCCCGGGCGCATACGAATCGCACATTAATCCCCTGTGCAATCATTAAACAATGCTAATGTGCGTCTAAAACGATCGTTTTGCAAAGTTCTCTCGAGAGAAGATCCGCTGACACGCATCGTTGAGCCCTAAGCCACAAGGTGAATGCTGAATATGATCTTGGACAGGTTTCTGAAACGGATCTTTATGCTTAAACTGTGCCAGAATGTGGTCTTCATTCGGCAGTGTTTTTTTTTTATTGCATCTTGACGATCTTCATTAAGCTTTTATTTGTTCGATTTGTATCCACGAATTTAGTTCCAATTTCGAAATAAACAAATTAGGTTTAGCTTTCATTTTCGCTTATTTTTGGTGCTCATTTGAGGGATCGTTTACTGTACTTTTCCATTAGACGATCGTTTATTCGATGCTCACTTGAGATCTTCTACGCATCTTCCTCAGTGGATGTCTTCTTCGTGCTTGGGGCACTCCTCAGACTCTGATCTTCACCTTCAAAATTGAACTTGAATTTTGAAGATGAATCTTCAAACTTGTACATCCTATCGCTCTTTGGATCCCATCCACTCATGAACCGCCCACTCATTAATGATTCTGCTTGCTCTCCCGAAGACCTGCCACACTTGTTTATAGGTGTGTTTTCCTTGTTGTTGTTCTTTTTCTATAAGTAGTTTTTGTTTACAATGTACCCCAGACCATGTTTAGTTTTTAGACGGGTTTATTTTTGGCTACTTTACTTGGCCTTTCCATTTGAATTATTGCCTGTGTCTTGAAACGTGTCTGAACACAAAAGCATAAGCCAATGAACCAACAAGCGTTGTGCCGCTTTATCTACACATTTGATATTTGGAATAAGATACAAAATACGCTTCGGAAGTGTTATCTGCATGGTCTAAGGGCGTGTTCCGACAGCCCCCAAAAAACTGTCTCACATAAATGATAAGCAAATGTGTGTGTCTGATATCAAAATTCTGTGTGAAATTATTGTTGAAGAAGTGTCAATGAGAAAGTGGGTCGCTTATGAAGAATTTCTTAGCTCTGTTGGCTTTTTTTTTTTAGCTATTTGAAGGCATTGATGCTTTGATTGTTAAATCAGTTTAGTCAGCAATGGATTAGAGATTATTTATGGATTATAGAGATTAATTTTAGATTAGATTTCTGAGCCGATTGTGCGCTAGAAGAATTCCGTTTAATTATTTACATTTTATTTATGTTTTGTATTATTTTATACCATTATATGTGATATTTATCCTTTGAACTGATCTTCAACCAATTCTTTATTTATAATCTTCTATTTTCAGGGCTTCCCTAGCTTCATTGAGCATCATTTCCGTGGCGGCTGTTGTTTCTGCAAGCCGCCTGGAGGATGCGTTTCTGCTTTGATAGGCTGTGCTTCGCCACCAAGCGGCCAGCCACAAACAATAATCGCAGCCACAGCACAAATGAACCACAGTGCACCAGCAATAGCAGCAGCACCGCCGAAAGCCATAGCCCACAAAGCACCACAGATGCAGCAGCAGCAGCTTCACCTTCCACAGTCACAGCTCCTTGTACAGCAGCACCACAGAAACAGAAACAGAAACAGCAGCCCATTGCAGGGGATCTCTTTTATGCGGAATACCAGAAACTAAAACCAGCGATAATCCATAGGGACTACAGGGATAAACCACCGGACACAGCAACACAAAAAGTGGAGGAACACACCGATAAAGGGGAGATTCCACAATCTCCCAAGCCATCCCAGACACCTTCCCTGCAGACAGAGATACGCCAGACAGAGCTACAGATACAACAGCTACAGGCAGAGATACAGACACATCTAGAGCAGCAGCAGCAGCAGCAGCAGCAGCAGCGTCGCTATCGCCGTCATAGCAGTGCCGAAGATCGTAGGAAGCCGAAGCACCATTCGAGCACGAAGATACTATCAGCAGATTCCGATTCCGCCGAAGATCCGAAGATCCGTAAAGCAGCCAGCATGCAGCAGGAGCCGAACGCCAACTATCAGTTCCAAACCGACTTGGGTCTGGTGAGCATCGTCCAGAACGCGGCCAATAGCGCGAACAGCAACACTTACGGCGCGACAAACAACAACAACAACAATAATAATAATAATAATAATCTGCTGGGCGGCGGCGTCGGCGTCGGCGGAATCGTGACATTGCCCTCGGCTGGTAATAACCTTGGACTATTGGGCCTCGAGCAGACGGCATCGGGTCTACGGCTGATACAAGCGCCACCGCCGCACTCCGATGTCCTCACCCACACGCTGATCTACGGCACACCGCCGTCGGGGGCACAGCAGCTGCACACGGACCCGAGGAGTCTGTTGCACCAACAGGAGCTGCAGCTGCAGCAGCGCTACCAGCAGTTGCAGCAGCTCCAGGCCCAAACACAGGGACTCTACGCGAACACAGGCAATCCCGTGCTCTACCACCAGCCGAGTCCGAGTGGGAATCCGGTAACGAGTCAACCGGTGGCCATACCCGGAGCCGCCAACGTTGCTGCCTGCAACTCGCCCACACAGCCACTGCCACTGCCACTGCCACTGCCTCATCCCTCATCGCTGGCCTTGGCGCAGGTGCAACAACAGATGCAGGGACTGCGGATATCCGGAGGTTGTGGCGCCCCCAGTCCCGGCTCGGCCACACCCTCGCCGGTGGGCATGGGCGAGCCCACGTTGATGATGAGCAACACGGCCGCCTATGTGGCGGCTACGCCGCAGGAGGAGCGCTTCATACAGATCATCCAGGCCAAGGATCTCAAGATCCAGGAAATGCAGCGTGCCCTTCAGTTCAAGGACAACGAAATAGCGGAACTTAAATCCCATCTGGACAAATTCCAGAGCGTCTTCCCCTTCAGTCGCAGCAGTGCCGCCGGTGCGGGCGGCTCCTCGGGCGGTGGCAGTGGCCCCAGCACGGCCACAGGTGCCACCCGCAAATCGGGACAAACCTTCCAGCGACAGCGTGCCCAGGGCATATCCGCAGAGCCACAGAGTGAATCTTCGGTGCTGCTGGAGCATGTCACATTTCGCAAATACGACAAGAATGAGCGGTAAGTGGGACTCCTTTTTGACCTCCTTTTCTTCAATGCTCTAATTGCCGGAAATTAATTAACAAAATGTATTTTAGTCTAGACATTGTAATGGTCTGCACTTTGATGAACAAAACCTGAGAGTTCACTGCTCCTTTCTGTAATCTTTCCCTCAAGAGATTATAGCTATTCTTTGTACAAATTTTGTAAACGAAATCATGTATTAAATTGCATCATTCCGTATTCAAATTGATCGTTGGCATCGAATAAATCTCTTGAGCAAAATGCCTAAAAACAAAACTAGGAACAAAGAGGGTTTCCCTTCATGTTCCAGTATCTGTTCCGTTTCTCACAGAGTCCCGCAAATTAGTTCCAATAATAAACTGTTGTAAACTGTGTTCCAATGGATAATTGAATGCAATTCCATTGAAATGTCATTGATATTCACACATTAATGCCACAGATTGATTGTGCTTGATGTTCCTAGATTGATTTGGTATGGAAGACACAACCTTTTGATCAATATTTTGTTCCATAACATATTCCAATCAATGGTACATGTATTTATAGTGCTGCAATCCATCAATTCTGAAGACGCTAACCCAGATTTGTTGACGCATCAATTAAAGAGATTTATTGCTCAATTTTCTTCCTTCCATTTGTCTCCTTTTCCCTTTAAATTTCGAATAGATTTCTACTGTACATATTGCTCGCTCCCTGATTCACTTGTTATTCATTCGCTTTGGGGCTCTGAAATCAGTGGAACCTGTAATCGCTCGCCACATAGATTAGCCATAGCCCTACATTATTTATAGTATTTATAATTTAGTATATGTATTTATAAATATTATATACGGATGTGGCGATACGATAATGATCGCCATGCCCGATGGGCGTCATCATGGCGATGATCTTGATCAAATATTGGGAGCAGCGCCCTGTCGCCTGTCGCCTGTCGGCTATCGCTTGTCGCCTGTGCCACAAAATGCGTTTATTTAAATTGAGTTTTCCCCAGAGATTTCCCCACAGAATTTCCCCAAGCCCAAAAATCGCTGTGGCCTTGGGCAGTGTCATCTTGCGCCATCGTCTTGAACCACAGTATACGTACGGACATATATCCACGAATATTCTTTATGAATAACGGCATGAATATATATGTACTCGAATGTGAATGTGAATGCAAATGAATTGTGGGTCCATAGAGAGCGACGATGCCAATTGGCAACCAGATCACGCGCCACATTGCGTCATGTTCATCGTTGGGGTACCCTTTGTGTCAGTGGAAGTTCAGGGGTATGTCGAACGAGTGTTTACTTATACAAGAAGGCAGAAGAAAGGGTTTTACTTGGGCCCTAAATCATGCATTTAGTAAAGATAAAGCCATGTTCGTGTGTCTTTTTGTATGACAAATTGGCTCTTGGTAACAATAAGTGGTCGTATTTGACACTTTAAGGGAGAGTGCAGTGAATTATTACCCTATCATGAGACAAAAATCGCAACTTGTTCAGCAATTTCAATTACGTCAAATTACTGCTTACTTTTTGAATAGCTTTTAGAAATTTCTGGAATTTAGTATCCCTCAACGTTCCTTTACTTCTTCTCCGCCAAATAATCTAAATTGTAGGATATTTTCTAGTCTTCTATCTCCCGCAATTTGCGCATCTTTTTGGGTTATCTCTAGGGCGAATTTCTTTTTTTTAGACACGTTCTTCTTGCATGAATTTCCTTCCAAATCCGCTGACTGCCGCCTGCAATCTGCCGCTGCTCGATATATACCAAGAAATGGAAAAAAAAATACCCGATATATCAAATTAAAACTGTGAAAATGCGTGGGCTTTCGACTCTGCTGCCTTTTCACACTTTTCGGTCAGTGTCTGTCCTCAGGTCGCTCATTCTCACTCTTTGTTCTGCCTGGAAGTCGTTGCTTTTATTCTCCTTTTCGCAAGAGATTTCCTCTATTTGTTTTTTTTCTTTCTTGCCAAAACATAAAAAACAATGTAAATATTTATTCTTTTCTAGTGCTAGGAAATTGCTTCCTGGGGATGGGCGACACGCGCTTGTAGGTGGCTGCCCCCCCTCGCTCTTCTCTCTGCCATAATCCCCCTCCAGATCTGACTCTCAGTAATGCCGCAAATTTGTTTAAATCTGCCATTTTTATGGCCAAAACTGTTGACACAATCGCACAAAAAATCGACCCGCAAATCCATGAAATTGCAATTCCAAGTCTTTTTTTTTTTGTTTAATGGTTTCCCCCGGAATGGTGTTCCATTGGTGGGGGAGTGGTGTGGTGTGGCCGGCCACTCTATCTCTGACCAAAATCTATGCCGATGGCGGCGCGACGCATGCAACAGGACATTTTTTGACACTTGCGTGGCATAAATCACAGGCGCCGCAGGCCCAGAGACTTTGCATTTTGGTGGCACAGTCGCCACAGTGTGTGTGTGTGTGTGTGTGTCGCTTTCAACGGGGCCATCTAATAAATAATGCCACAAAATTGCATGAAAATTGCATTTGAATCGGAGCTGGAGTCGCAAATGGCGGGGGGTCGACAGAGAACTTGCTACATGCCTCCATATACATGTGGCACCAAAGCCACAACTTACAAGATGAAAGATGGCCAAACATGGGAGTTTGTAGAGTCATAAAAGTTGGTTGTTGGGAGATTCAACAGCGATTTTTAATGATTAGAAAACAGCCTCAAAAAGCGTCTATAAAATTCTTCTTCTGCCAGCCAAAGGTGTGATTGTTATTTGCCAGACACATTTGCCATCCAATTAGTACCTTATTAATTCACACAGAAAGGCACTAATAGCCCCATTTAACACACAACACTCCCCGATTAGTGGCTTAAATTGTTGCATCTTCATCTGGCAGTGTAAGATCTGACGCCTGTTCTTGGAACAGCAGTGAAAATATTGATTTTGTGTGCGATTATATCAGAACGGGTGGAGGTAAACTGGAAGGCAATGAAGTCTTTGAATTGAGCTTCTTGTAACTCAGATTCCAGGCAGATCTCCTGGCCCATTGGAAAGTGCTCTTAATTCATTAATCATCCCATAATAAACACTCTCAAAAAAGATCACTTTCAGCTATCAACTTTTTACTTGAAACAATTTGTCAACCATTTTTGCTTTTGATTGCTGGCAAGTTGTCGTCTGTCTATAAGTCTCCCGCTCGATAGTAGCAGTCTCCTCCCAGATACATGGCTTACAAGCCTTGATTGCCTGCAATCTTGGACCCGCAAACACCTCACACATTGCGAATAGATTAAGCGAATAGGTGGCCCCCATGCCCCACCCAGAACCAGTCGGAGACAGAGTCACTGCAACAGCCTGATCTCTGGTTGGATACGACATACGAGAGTGCCCGTGTCTGAATTTCCATTTACTCAATTCCCATGGCGAGACGCCACTTCATTTTATTGTCAACTGCCTTTAGCCGTCAAGTATTTGCAGTTTTAATTCGGTTGTCGCTAAAAGATTGAACGCACCCGCAACAGATCTCTTGGGTCTTTAGCTCCATTCTGTTGTCTCATTTCTGAGGTGCAGCCTCTGGGCGAGAGGGTGCGTGCCTTGGCACACATTTCACAAATCAAATTTACGCACAAATATAGCCATAAATAAATGGTTATAGCTTCCGACAATGGAAGGCAGCAGCACTGGAACTGTAACTGGAACGCCGATCCGGCTCCTAGGTCTAATTGAAGCTATTAATTGTTTAGGCTCGTACTCCGCACCACACGAAGCTGTTGGTAATTGTGGTGCCGCGTGGTGCTGCCGCACAAGGAAAGCCAATGATAATTTACGCATATAAAGTGCCCCATGGGGGCACAGCACAGAGGCACAGCAGCAGCAGCAGCAGCAGCACGACCCACTACCTGCCACTCTTCCTTCTTCTGTTTTTGGGGGTAACGAAACCCGTTTCGGTGGGTTTTTTCTAGTTCGTGGAAATCTAATACTTTTTCCATGGATATTTCTCTATTTTGTGCAACAAGAAACTCCGCTTGTAGTCGCTTCCCAGACGCCGCCGCACCGCCGCACCGCCGCTCGTGACTTGCCTATCGATTTAGACACGGTCCACGATATTTTTTATATATTTTATGATATTTTATTAAATTTTAATTGTAACCCAAAAAAAGATACAATCTTTGAATACTCGCCAAACAGGCGCCACAGGTGTCGTTTTGCTGTGCAGCATGGCGTGCTGTAACGCCCCTACACACCTCACTCCCCACTGCATTTTGGCATGGGGAACTCATCATCACATTTTGGGGCACACTGTAGCGGTTTCTCCTGCCCCAAAACTGTCGCCGTGGAACTCCCCAAATCGAGTCGTTGCCAAAAACGAAGCTTACAAATTGGCCCCAACCCCAGCTCGACGACAGGCTGTGCAACGCCTTCATCATTAACTCTCGGGAGGCACTGACCAGCCAGCCGCTTGCAACGTGTGGCAACATGGTGTTTTGTGCAGTGAACTTTGAGTGGTGATGGATCCATCCAGCTACAATATTTTGAGGGTATCTTTTGGGTTAATTAAGAAGGAATTGCTGGCAAAATACTGAACTTTTATTCTAATTACTTCAATTAAATACTGGAACAGTGTTCCTAGCTTTTCAGTGTACATATTACACTTTTCTGTTGCCTGTCCTGGGCCTGCAAGTTGTCTGCTGTGCTGACAGATAAAGTCATTTGACATTTACAGGCATTGGCAACATGGCATGGGCCATGAGTCCATGAATCTATATGCGGTATCCCCCGACTCCCTCCCTACTCTCTTGACTCTAACCGAAGTATAAAATTTTCAAATTTGTATTAATTTCATATCGGTCGATTGCGCGCATGCCAATTTCCATCGCATCGTTGCAATTTTTTGGTGGTACAACGGCGGCAACTTGTTGCATGGCTTGTAAGCTGGCATGCTGCTGGCACAAAACTGGCAGATAAAACGATTTATATGTGTCGGCCTGAAAATTAATTGGACTTTTGCTCGTGCAGCTCATTTCAGTGACAGTTTTGTGCCATTTTTAATAATCATAACTAATTGAGTTTATATCTGTTCTTTATATCTTTTTCGATTGCAGCTCCCGTGAACTTATCAAGTCTGCCATTTTGGATAATGATTTCATGAAGAATCTGGACCTGTCGCAGATACGTGAAATTGTCGACTGCATGTATCCCGTCAAGTATCCAGCCAAGAATTTGATTATAAAGGAGGGAGATGTCGGCAGCATTGTGTACGTTATGGAAGGTGAGTAAAAGAACTATAAATAATTAAGTTTGTGATGGGGAAATTAAGGAAAGAACGGGAAATGGAGTCTGTGAGGTTGGTGTATTTTACACATATATCTACATGAATTATACTTGGGTGTATATTACTTTGATGCTGAAAAGTATGCAGCGTGTAAAATTACATGAAATATTACGTGAGTCCCAAAAGCAGGCAAAGAGTTTCTGTTACTGCAGTTCCAGTTGCCTTCTTTCTCTTTCTCTCTTTCTGTCTCAGTCTCTGTCTTTTCCCTTTTTTTTCAGAATATTTCAGCAATAGTGGGGCAACTTTCGGCAAGCAAGAGAATTTAGTTCTAAGTAAAGAAAATTGCTCTAAATATTCCACAAAACTATTCCCCTTGATACTTCCAATATTCGTAAATTCCGCTTTTGCATACCCAACCAAGATCGTGCAACTCGTTGTGGCAGATAAGCAGTCGGCTCAGCTCCTCTGCACACGTGTGTTGCCCAGGCAGGCCCAATTCTGGTTTGGGGCTGTGGCACACCCACACACCCACGCCGCAAGTGGAGAGAAGTTCAGCAAAATGTCAGTCTGTGACTCTTGAACAATGCCTTACGATGCCTTTCCTTTCATTTTTTCTTTGCTTCTTTTGCTAGTTTAATAGTTTTTGTTTTTCTTTTTGCACGTTTCTGCGTCTGTGTGTTCAGAGTGCGAGTGTATTTCTGGGTGTGCTCCAACACTGGAGTCGTAGCTAATTGTTGTTTTAAATATTTGCACGTCAAGCGGCATTTGGAATGGGTCTTTGGCTTAGCTTTTGCTATGGGGGGGTTTCTAGATTTACGAGCACATTTCGTGTTATTTTAGTTGAAGACTTAATTTACGTACCGTACTAACATTTGCATTTTAATTGCAACAGCCAGTGAGGGGAGTACTCAAAACATGCACAAATAATTATAATCTACAGAAAAATCGCATATGTATACAGGCATTTCATCTTGCAAAAATGAAGATGGAGTTGCAGATGCAGAAGCAGAAGAGGAAGACGGATGCTTCCTCATAATCATGCAACAATCTGCAGAGATTTTGCGCTTCCTTAACCTGAGCATCGATGTCCGCACTTGGATGCCGGCTGTGCCTGTAACCCGCTACTCGAATGGGGGAACATTGGGGGAACAGATGTCACGGCATCTGTCTAGCCATATCATAGTGAGTGGAAAAGAGAGAGGCATAGGCTGTAGAGAGTGACACAGCCATGGAGAGTGTCGATCTCATTACACATGACCGAAAAAAAAACATCCCAAACATCAGCCTGCAGCAGATGGGAAAAGATTCGCAAGAGATTCAGCCTTGTGGACAGTGCAGATGCCCTGCAGCAGGAAGTGGAACGCCTACGTAGGAGATAGCGTTGGGAATCGGGAATGCTGAATGTCTGTATGATTAAAATAGTCCAAACAGAAGTCTATACTCGGCCATGATGTTTTGATTTTTAATTTAAATTTAAACCAAATGCTGATTAGAAAACGAAACAATTTTAATGGAGTGTGTGCTGGTCTGTGATTAGACAACCTCCGCAGGCAAACGTTTGTGCTAATCATTAACTAAAAGGTCACTGGACTTGTGGACAATTTTATTAAAAAAGTGTGACACGTTTGACAGAAGATAAAGCATTGCGCAGCGCATTTTGTGTGTCGATCATAGCCAACCAGTTCGGGCTGTACCCTACCACCTTCGATTCCATTCCACACACTTGTTTTTGCTCAGCGTTGTACCTGTGCGTGTGTGTATGTGTTTTTGTGCGCTCTCTCGTTGGCTCTCACCCACAAACAAAACAAAGTAGCAGGTAAAATAACATAAAAGGTAAGGCAGCGTGCCGATCACGATCTCTCTGATTCAGATTCATGGCATTTTGTGTCTGTTTTTTGTCATTGCGGTAACCTCTATTGAATATATCTTGACGCCAGCTGTGCTCCATTGGGGCTGCTGTATTATCTCTCTCTCTCTGTCTCTCTCCCCATCTGTGGCTGTCGGAGCTCCCTCGTTTAACAGTTGGAATCACAACACCGCCGACGAGTGTGCGTCATTCGTTCGGGGCAGCATAAAGCGAAAACAACGTGAGAGCGCATGCGCGCTCGGCTGCAACTGCATTTCTGTACTTCGTGTTCGTGTTTAGTGCTCCGGCTCGGCAGCTGCATTTTTTTTGCATACACGCTTCGTCGCGCGTTGAGTATTACAACAACAACAACAAAAATAATCCACAAGAGTGCGATAGGGAGAGGGCGAGCTAGCGAGCGAGCCTTAAAGCAAAGTAAAAGACATAATAATACACATAATTATAAGCGAATGTGTGGAGTGCGCGGTATAGTAATTCTCGAGATGCTTTTGTGCTATTTCCAACAATTACATAAACATTTTTAAAATAAACAATAATCTCCATTCCATGTGTGAGCCCGAGAGGCCGACCGCAGCCGCGATTCAGGTTCCTTCCTCCCAAGATTTCCCAAGAATTTCTCGACCACAGCGAATGGGAAAACAAAGAGGGGAAAAGGAGAGATAGATAGAGACGGGGAAAAAAACAGCACAAATTAAAAGTGAAAGTGAATTGTTAACATTCGTACCACGACGCGGAGTGGAGTGAATTAAGAAATCGCATCGACTAAAACGTTTAGTCCGGCTGCAGCTCCTGGTGTCTGACGCCCCCGTGGGCGTGGTACTCACTGGACAGAGACAGTCACAGAAAGAGAGACAAATGTAGCAGAAGAGAATTGACGCTCGGAAATCTTGGGGGATTTCGATTGAACAAAAACAACAACAATCCGAACCGAAACAGAAAAGATCACTTGAAGAATTCCGGTTTGTGGTTTCCCATTGTTGTTGTTGGCTGTAGTTGATTTTTTATTGTTGTTGCTGCTGTTGTTTCGGCTGCCCCGCTCCGTTGATTTGTGTATTTTTGTCGGTCATTGGTCTGAACAACAAAAAAATGGTGTAGAAATACAGAAATTATAAAGGTTTTTGGCCAAAACCGAATGCCAAATGTCGCACATTGTCGAACAGCCGACAAAATGACAAGCAAACCCCCAAAATGTAATACTCTTCTGGCAGATCGTGCAAGAATGTGGAGATTTGAGCCACGGATAATGTTCATAGAATACAAAGAGAGAGATAGGGAGATACGGAGGGACGGCAGATGGAGAGAAATTTAATTGAAATGCGGAAAAGAATTTCAAAAGAAATGTGACGACGGAATGACTCTTGGAATTGCTATCAAAAATTAAAACAAACATTAAATTAGAAATCGTGTGAAATGCGAGACGATCTTTATGCCCTGCCCCACCATCATCATCAAAAGACAAAAGCCAGAAAGTCAGAGGCCAAAAGACAAAGAGTGGAAGATGTGGAAACATCTGTGCTAATGTTACGCTGGAATCAAGCGGCACCACCACCTCCTATCCACCTATCCACCTATCCACTTTGTGGTATGCCCCCATTTGACTTCTCCGGTCTTCCGTCTGTGGGTCGCCAATTCCCGCAGCATACAGCTCATTTGCTTCTGAGTTTAGATACTTTGTAGAGGAACTAGACCGGTCTATCGGGGTGCCGGGGGCACTCTTACTTTTAAGCAACTCGCAAAAGGCCAAGAGGCAAAGCCAGAGCCAGTCCCAGCTGCTGGCGGACAAGTTTTTAGCATTAAGCTTGAAAGAGGTCTCCCACTTTTGACATGCAAATTTGCTGCTTTGCTCTGCTTCGGCGATTATTCAATTGATGATCGCTGGAGGGAGGTAGCAGAGGCAGATCATTAGGAAATCTTGCTGCTGGCTTTATCAAAATTGAACATAATGATCGTATTACCAAAAGTCATTACTAATCGGAAGAACCCCCAATGGGTTTACGGTAGCCATCTATGAGGGGAAATTCATTTAATAATGGCACTTAACATGTTTCCTCAGGGTATTTCCCAGCTTATCAGCACAAAATGCTACTTATAGATCGTCAATCTTTTCCCGGTTTTTGCTTATAGATCGGTGCTCTTTTTCTATGGATTGTCTTGATAGATTCTGTGGACATCAAGTGGTTTGCAGCTGCTTTATTGCTGAAATTTAACTAGAAATAAAAACAGATCTGTTTGCGAAATCGATCTTTGCAAAGTTGATTCAAATTCTCATTCTCATTCTCTTTTTATTCCCATCTTGTTTGACTACAATCTAAAGATTGTCACAAAAGATCTGCCCAAAAAGCATACAAACAAACGTTAATGCGGATGCCTTCCGTCTTTTGGGAATAACTTTCTTTATAAGACATGATTTTCATTAGCGATAGAGCGAACGTATGAGCCATAAATATTGCATAAATTATTATTTACAAGCTAACATTTCGTGTGTCGAAATGTGAGCTTGAAATGTGACTAAGCCATTGGAATGTTTTGTGTGTTTGTTTTGTTTTCTTTTGTCTTGGCCTCAAAATGGATGTCAAAAAGGGCGAAGCAGAAACTTTAATTTCATGTAGATCGTTTAATTACCGGCTGCCTGCCATTCCATGCTAAAACACAAAAAACTGAAACCAAAACTCCACTGCTGCTGCCTGTCTGTCGTGCCCTTGGCCCACAAGCCACACGTGTGTGACTAACTCTGTGGCTCACTGTATAATTGCAATACCAAAGAGCGACGAGCCCTGCTCTGGGATTGAGACTGTGGTCTGTTGTCGGTGGTAGCACCGTTAACTCTATTTATAGCCGAATGTTAAAGCCAAATTCTTGTTTCCAAACCAAGCGATACCAACGATTGTATTCAAATCAGCGAATCCGCGACTGCGGCGACTCCGGCGACTGGCTGACCTTCAAAGCCAACACTCAAGCAACATTCATTATTCATTTGTTCGCGAATTGTAGTCGTGTAGCCACCAGACAGAGCCCACCAGAGGCTGTGCGTGGTGTTGCAAAACCCTCGTCTGTCTGTCTGTCTGTCTGTCTGTAGTTTCCATTGTGGCTCTGTTGTTGCATGACGGCGCTTCCGCATTCGAAAAATGCCAGCGACCTCTGTGAACTTTGCACTTGAGGATATTTTTGGGGAGAAAATAGCTGACTGGCTGCTGACTGCTGCCTGCTGCCTGCCAACTGGTCTCTCAAGCATTCCATTGATTTGAAAGTTTTTTCCAATATACGGAAATTGTTTGGCTGCCTCGGAGCTCTCTTATCTTGAAAGCCAATTCACGCGTTTCTTTGATAACACTTTCCTCTGGTTCTGCTCAGGTTTCTCCCCTTCTTCCCTATCTAACTATATTTTCTGACTCTCTCTGCTGTCACATTAAGCTAATAAATAAATGTCTGATATATTTGCGTTGGTTCCCGGGCAGAGCACCTTCTCTTCCATGACATGATCATCATCGTGTGTGCGCGGTCTTTTGTTTGCTCTCTGATTGATCATAATAATGGTGGTTCAAGCAAATGTTGTCTCGCCAGAGTCAAGGTGAATGTGTTGTTTATGTGTTCAGTGTACCTTCAGTGTTTGAGTTCGCTTGTTGCTGTTGTTCTTGTCAAAACATAGCTATTAAACGCTGAAATTGATTTGCTTTTTTGACACTAGCTGTGGGATAGTTATCTTGACTTGAATGATACTGGAATATGTCTCTCTTATAGAGGGCACCCATCCATTGACACATTACCCGCATAACTACAGATCACACCCTTCTCCTGCTACACTCTTGAATGACTCATAAAGCTCATATTAATATTCGTCCCACTTTGCTTTCAAGTTCATTTGCGTCTGTTTTGCCCCATCAATTAGCGTACGAAAACGAGTACATCCCATTGATCAGCGATCGTTTAAGCAATCACCCGACTGCACAATGTAATTCCCTTCCAATTCCGAATGGGTGCTCCACTTTTCTGGCCCCATGATTACGAATATTCGCATTCGCATTCGCATTCGTCTGTAGGTCGCCGACTACGTCACTTTTTTGTGGTTTGGTTCAATGTTTGTTTTGTCACTTCCTCTCCTCTGCGCACTTTCATTCATTCACTGGCTAATTTGTCGATGATTGAGCATTGAATGCATTCAATTCGCGTGAATACTTTTGCACGACTCACTCATTCACACGCTGATTCAAATTGACCAAAAATTTAATTTGCACCTGATAATTGTTATAATTATTATTTCTTTTGCGGCTGATCGACGGGAAATCCTATTGGAAAACCGGTCAAGAGAGTGTTTTTTATTTTTTGTGTGCAAGCATGTACAGTGGGTACTCTCTATTGGTGGAAATATCTTTAGCATTTTGTTGAGATTCGTTGGAAAATGTTTATTAGCGGACAGCTCAGCTCCCTTGTGGCAGACATTTTTAGTTGTAGACTCTGCCGCCTGCAACTATCACTCACTCCCCCTATTGGGGCACAACAGGTGCCCGGCCCACAGAGAGAGCTACATATACAGTAGTACCCGTCTTTAAGCGATGATCAAGTCTCGAACTTGGTGCTTTTTTGCCATAAAACCAAATTAATCCACAAAAAAAACGTGAGCCAATTGCCACAAGAAAAAAACAAAATAAACATGGAAAGTTTTACAACAAACAACAACAGAGCAGCAACAACAACAAATAAATAAACTATTTAGCAATGAAAATAAGAGAAAAGCAAATACAATTAGCGGTGTGTCCCTCCACCTTTAGGCCATCCATCGCCATCCATGACTGACTCGTCAAATATTCCATGCGCGAAATATATTTTGGATTGTGTCTTTTGTTGTGTTGTGGGTTATGCAAAAGATACAAATACACGCCCCAAAACATAAACTAAACTAAGAGACAGAAAAAATACACAAAGCACGTCCATCAGCGTCGTCGTCATCATCGCTGGACAGTGAAATCTTTTTTGGTTTGTGGTACGTGGAGCGCGTTTCGTAATGAAAATCAAACATTATCCGGGAAAAGCGGTAGATGCCAGCCTCTCGCTGGAGGGCAGCAGTGCCTTGGGTGCCATCTATGAAGCAAATTGGTTGCAGGCCGCAACGCCCCACCATCCCCCGAGCGGAGGGGGAGGCACAACGACGACGACCCTCAGTCGTCAGGGCAGCAGTGCGGGCAGCAGCTTTCTCTTGGATGGCATCTCAGCGTTGAGCAAGTACCAAATGACGCTGGAGAACATCAGGAAGTTGGAGCAGCAGTCGAAGAACAGGCGAAGGATTGTGAGCATCAAGGAGCTGAATGGCTATCGGCCATCGGCGCTGCAGCACCACCAGCAGCAGCAAATGGAGGACACTTGGGTGACGGAGGAGCAAGAGGAGGCGGAGATTCCTCCTGAGAAGAAAGAGGAACCCAAACCCAAACAGAGTCCAGAAGAACCTGCCGTCAATCATTATGTTCTCGATCCCACAGAACGTCCGCGAGTGCCACGCCCACGGCAGCAGTTGTCGGTGAAGCCTCCCTCGCTGCGGCGATCCCAGACCATGGCCATGCCACCGAGCTATGCCACGTTGCGATCGCCACGAAAGCAGCCCAAAGCTGCAGCCACAGCCAGCCACAGCAGTTCCTCCGCGTACTCCACGTTCTCCTCCGCCGCTGAGGATCTCAAGGATCCAGCAGAGCAGGTGGTGATCTGTCAGCAGCCACAGCGAGGCATGCACCCTGCTCCACGACGGATGCAGCCTCCTCCGCGTCTGCTGCTGCCACCCAGAGAGCCGCCACCAGAGCCGCCCATACGTGCCTCGAAGGAGCAGCCGCTGCCGGCACAACGTACCTTCAAGGAGCAGCCAATGCCGGCACAACGTACCTTCAAGGATCAGCTAGCAGTGCCACAGCGAGTCTCCAAACCACTGAGTAGATCACAGACCAGTGTGCAGCGCTATGCCACCATTCGCATGCCCCATCACTCCACCTCCTTCTGTCGAGCGGCAGCACGATCCACAGATCAGTCGGCAGTGCGGCGGCACAGCCTGGAGCAGGCACTGCAGGGACTGCAGCTCCAGGAGGAACAGACTCGCACAAGGGCGACGGAGTCTCGTCAAATCTCACCCACTGCCAGCAGCAATGGCAGCTCAAAGGATCTCAATGGGGAGGGCTTCTGCATACCCCGACCTCGTCTCATCGTTCCCGTTCACACTTACGCTCGTCGTCGTCGCACGGGGAATCTCAAGGAGCAGTCCAGTACGGGGCAAGAGGAGGAACCAGCGACTGGTAAGGGTAACAGTGGGAGAAAGCTAAGCAGAAGGATAATATTTTAGGGATCTATTAGTTTTAAAGCTGGGGAAAAATTCTCTTCATTTATTCTACTGACATTTTCCCTTTTTTCTGCTCTTTCCAGATGGACGCGTTGAGGTCTCACGCGAGGGCAAATACCTCTCGACCCTCTCCGGAGCCAAGGTCCTTGGGGAGCTGGCGATTCTCTACAATTGCCAGCGAACTGCCACGATCACGGCCATCAGCGAATGCAATTTGTGGGCCATTGAGCGGCAGTGCTTCCAGACCATCATGATGCGCACGGGACTCATACGTCAGGCGGAATACACCGATTTCCTCAGAAGGTAATAATACCTTTGCAAATATAATGATATAGCGGAGGAGGAGGAGGAGGAGGAGAGTCTTGTACCAGACATTTCCTCAATGCCGTGGTGGAAAATGGAAAATGGGAAATGGGAAATTTTCATGCGCATTTGAAATGAGATTCAACTGGTTTTTCGGCCTTAATTAATGTACATTTTGCACTTAATTATATCAATTCCGCAAATGCACACAACACTTCGTGTTTGCCCCATTATGGGGCACATCAAACATTGCTTTAGCTTAAGGATTTCTTCAATTTTGCTTTTATTTTTTGTTGTTGCACACTAAAGAGTAACTTTCTCCAGACAGAGCCATCATCGACAGGCATCTTGCACATCGCGTCGTCTCGTCTCGTCTCGTCAGCGTCATCGTCATGGTCATGGGCGTCGCATATGACGTGCGGCTGGCGCTGCGGCTGCGGCTGCGGCCAACGAACGCATAGAAATTTGTGTTTTTCTCTGCCAAATGGTGCTTCAAATGGTGGCAACTTCAACCAGTTTTTTGGGCATCAGCTCCAGATGCAAGTGCAAGTCCAAGTCCCGTAGATCTCGTAGATCTCGTAGATCTTTGAAGTGACCAATGAATTAATTGGTGGCATACCCCGTCGATGGGTGCCCGTAAAACCATAATTGAGGTTCGCCATGCACTCGTTTCGAGACCATGAAATGGCGAAAAAACACACACAACAAAAACTGAAATGAAAATGAAAATGAAAGTGCAGTTGAGGGGGGAATGCAGATTTGTATCTAGCGCCAGAGGAGATCTATGACTTGCTTTGGCTATTGGCATCTCTCATATCGAGATTTGAGCACTAATTGCAGTTACTTTCTCTGCCCTGCAATTGGGAATGACCATAATTTGGGTCTAATTTCAATCACTTTTCTTCAACTTGTAACTGGAAATTAATCCGCAAATTTTGATCCTCTTTACAGTGTTCCAATTTTCAAAGATCTAGCGGATGATACGCTCATCAAAATCTCCGATGTACTAGAGGAGACGCACTATCAGCGTGGCGATTATATTGTGCGACAGGGAGCACGCGGCGACACCTTCTTCATCATCTCCAAGGGCAAGGTGCGTGTGACGATCAAGCAGCAGGACACGCAGGAGGAGAAATTCATACGCATGCTGGGCAAGGGCGACTTCTTTGGCGAAAAGGCGCTGCAGGGGTGAGTAAAGTAGAGCAGGGGAATTCCTGAATCCTTCACAATGAATTTATCTCTCCCTTATAGCGATGATCTACGCACAGCCAATATAATTTGTGATTCTCCTGAGGGCGTCAGTTGTCTGGTGATTGATCGCGAGACCTTCAATCAGTTGATCTCCAATCTGGATGAAATCAAGCATCGCTACGACGATGAAGGAGCTCTGGAACGCATCAAGTAAGAGAGAGAAAAAATACCCCTAGAGATCCCTTAATTAATCCTTTTTCCCCTTCCAGAATCAATGAGGAATTCCGGGATATAAATCTCACAGATTTGCGTGTAATTGCCACACTGGGCGTGGGTGGCTTTGGACGCGTGGAACTCGTGCAGACCAACGGCGATCCCAGTCGTTCGTTTGCCCTCAAACAGATGAAGAAATCGCAGATTGTGGAGACACGCCAGCAGCAGCACATCATGTCCGAGAAGGAGATCATGGGCGAGGCCAATTGTCAGTTTATTGTGAAGCTCTTCAAGACCTTCAAGGACAAAAAGTATCTATACATGCTGATGGAGAGCTGTCTGGGAGGAGAGCTCTGGACCATATTGCGCGACAAGGGAAACTTTGACGACAGCACCACGCGCTTCTACACCGCCTGTGTAGTGGAGGCCTTTGACTATCTGCACTCGCGGAATATTATCTACAGGGACCTGAAGCCGGAGAATCTGCTGCTGAATGATCGCGGCTATGTGAAGCTGGTGGACTTTGGTTTTGCCAAGAAGCTGCAGACGGGTCGCAAGACCTGGACATTCTGCGGCACGCCCGAATATGTGGCCCCCGAGGTGATACTGAATCGTGGCCATGACATAAGTGCGGACTACTGGTCGCTGGGTGTCTTAATGTTTGAACTTTTGACGGGTAAGTGGCAAAGAGATTTCCGTAAAAGAATTACTCACTTAGTACTTTGTGATTTTTAGGTACCCCACCGTTTACGGGCTCCGATCCCATGCGCACCTACAACATCATACTTAAGGGCATCGATGCCATCGAATTCCCCAGGAATATCACAAGAAATGCCAGCAATCTGATCAAGAAGCTTTGCCGTGATAATCCAGCCGAACGTTTGGGCTATCAGCGTGGCGGCATAAGCGAAATACAGAAGCACAAGTACGGCACTGGACTTGCAATTTTCATTCCCTTGGCAATAATATGTTTGTTTTTATAGATGGTTCGATGGCTTCTACTGGTGGGGCCTTCAGAATTGCACACTGGAACCACCGATAATGCCCACAGTCAAGAGTGTGGTGGATACCACAAACTTTGATGACTATCCACCCGATCCGGAGGGTCCGCCCGCAGATGATGTCAGTGGATGGGATAAGGATTTCTAGTTTGGTGTTTCCTAGACGATGCTCTCTCTCTCTCTAAGCGTCTGCTACAATCATAAATAAATCATAAAAGGAGAACAAACAGGAGTAGGAGTATACAGAGGAATTGATCTTAAGTGCGCCATATTTATGTACGCCAAAGCCAACAGTCAGCAGCTTGAAACCCAAAAGCTGCCCACCCACAGCAGTCCCCACTGAGTAGCAGTCGCACAAAGCACACACACATCGGCATCGGCTCATCGTCTTAGCATATACGATTATGAATATGTCTGTAACCTTATGATGTGCAACAGAATGAATTTATTAACGAGTTTATAACTATTAATATGTAATATGAGAATGAGAATGATAATAGGGCGAAATGAGTGTCTAGTTATCGTTTCGTAAATTGTAAGTAGGTGGGAGCTCTGCTCTGTCATTGTATAAATTCTTTTTTTCTATCTGTATATCTACGCGTATATCTATTATTAACATAACGACATACAAATTATAATTATTATTCATTGTTAATGTATCACAAACCACACACACATACAAATCGGGTTGCCTTATAGTCTGTAAGCTTATATTTTTAATGCAAAATATGACCAAGAACTTGTACTTTCTACTTGCATGTCTTCGCCCATCATAATACTTGTTAATTCTCCACCACTTAATAGTTTCTGCTATCTTTCATTTAGTTATATAAATCATTTCTGTTATTTGTACGAATAATAATGCCTTTTTAAATTGTCTTTTTTAAGTAAATCAGTTAGAAATTGAATAAACAAATTGATGCGACAAATAATTTGTTTTTAAATTTATGGTTAAAAATGGTTTCTTCTGTCTGGCAACGCTTCGACTTGATGTTGCTTGGGTCAGTGCAGTATAATTGTTAGTAATTATAGTAAAAGGAAAAGCGCGTTTATAGATATCATTCATGGAGCAATATCTAAAGAATATTTCATAAGCAAGTTTCACTCAACGTTCGACCTCTCTCAAGGTACTTCCTGCTTTTGAGGTACTTCTTCTCTACCAAGCACACGTTTTCACTCGAGTGTAAGAAAATAAGCAAAAAGACGAAGAAATATGAAAATGGAAACGAATTTGGACAAAAAGCAGAACACGTGGGTACGTGCCCAGCAGAAAGAAAACCCGAGAATTGCCCACAGAGAAAGCTGAGAAAAATCTGTCAAATTGCTTGACAGTCCGTATGGGAACATTCTACGCCAGACGCTTGAACGGATCAGAACGCAGCACCCAAAACAGAGAAGTTATAGATTTATTTGTTTAATGAAGTAAGAACAATGTTGCCAATTCTGACGTGGAGACTTTGTTGGCTGCTGCTTGCGGTGGGCATTGGCCTGACGCATTGTCTTCCCAGCTTGGAAAATAAAAGCCATGCAGAGGTTCAACAACAGATTGGTGAGTAGATCAAGCCAGCTGCAAATCTTAGGTAATGTTGGATTGCCCTTTAGCTTGTCGCCAGCCCAAGGCTCCGGGTCTGTGTCGTGGACGTCAGCTGCGTTATGCCTACAACAAGGAGACGGGCAACTGTGAGAGCTTCTACTACACAGGCTGTGCGTCCACGGAAAACAATTTCCTTACCTTCGAAGAGTGCCGCAGGGATTGCATGCAGCGCTTGCGCTACTAAAATCAGGATTAACTTGCACATTGCTTTTTAATTATATATTTATTGCTATAACAAATGTCGCAATGCTTGCTCTAAGATCGCTTTGACTTTCTGCGTCGATTGTTATTGTAAGGCTTTGATGGCCTACCACTAGAAAAGTGGTACAGGCTGTAGGCCAGTGCCAGAAGCACCACGATTATCAGGCATACACTATCCAGCGAGTGGTAAACATACCACTTGAGTTCTATGCCTGGGGACTGTAGCATTTCGGCAGCCAGCAGCCCATGCTGAATGACATGCTCCACACACCAGACGGCAGACTCCAAGGGACTGTTTTGACGTTCACTGAAGATCTTGGAGATGCCCACAGATCGAGTGGCATAGCTGCAAGAGAGCGCGCAATGTTAGGCGGGTTCTTTACCAAAATATGTGCAATGAATACTTCGGGTTGCTTAGGGTTTTGAGTGCCTCAGAAACGTTCTTCACACTGATATCTTGATAGTCCAATTTCAATCCCATGCCGCGATTCTGCACGGAAAAGGCATTCAAGAACTGATCGCCATAGATGGGTGTAACCAGCATGGGCTTGCCGCAATGTACCGATTCCGTAGTGCCCAGAAGACCACCATGAGCCCAAAACAATTCCACTTTGGGGTGACCTGAGAGAGGAGAGAAATTCAATAAGTTATGCAGTGCAGTCTCAGCAAAAGGGTCTCATTTGTAGTAACTCACAAAGAAGTGCCAGCTGTGGCGCCCACTTCACAAATAAAAACTTGTCAGCGTCTAACTTGGGTTTTTCCTCAGCCTCCCATTTCCAGATCACACGCAAGGGCTGGCGCTCTAGAGCCTCCACAATGGCAGCAAGTTTATCCTCATCGATGCTGGAGATGCGTACCATGGAGCCCCAACTGAAGAAGATTATGGGCACCTCGGATTGATCGATGAACTGAGCAATGTTTGCAGGCAGCTCCTGCGCCGCTTGGCTGGTGAGATGCACACCGCCCACCTCTACGAATTGCAGGGACTGCGGACGACTGCCCATCAGGGAGTAGTGCTGGTTGCCAAAGATAAAGGCGGTCTGAGTGCGAGCCACTTCATCCACATCCACTTCGATGCCGAGATGCCTACTGACTAGCGCGTTGTCCGCCCGATTCGAGTGGTAGCGGTAGAGCAGCTTCAACACCTTCGCTTGGATGAAGTTCACCAGACGCTCGTCCCAGCTGAGGGCACCGGCAAAGCCCACAAACTCCGACTGGATGAAGGAGGGTGTGTCCGGCAAATCGATGCGATCGTAGTAGTACGGCATCAGCGCACACGTGCTCAAGCCAATGATGGGCAGATTCATGAGCTTCGCCAGCGCCAGCTGGCAGTCAGAGTTGAAGTACTCCGTGAGCAGCAGATCGTAGGGCTGCGTCTGGTGGCGCTTGAAGACCGTTTCCACATGGCCACTGGCGTAGAGGCGCTCACAGGTCTTCTGTCCCTCCGAGTGGAGGGAATAGTATTCCCTGAAAAGCGTACCCAATGAGCGGGTGGGTGTGTGTTCCGTCAATGGCACTAAGTTGATCGTTGTGCTCGACTGATCCTCCCCTGGCTGGGAGATCAACAGCTGCTCGTAGTTGGGCCACTGCTCCGCCTGGGGATGTTTCACGTACGAGATCACAGTGAGATTGTGGCCACGCCTCGCCAGTTCATTGAGGATCGGCATCACCACCTTGAAGTGACTGAAACCAAAGTGCGGATACACAGCCAACACGTTGCCGCCCAGTGCCGCTGGAGGTGCTCCAGCCATGAGGAGGCCTAACCACAACGTAATTAAAACGCTTCTGCTGATCCGACACCACCACGTTGTCATCATTGCTTTGTTCACGATCGACTGCCGCTCTCATCTTGATTATCTAACTTTACATTTTTTCATTTGTGTATATGTTTGATAAGAGCCCTTTTTTGTTCTGTTCTGGCTGATACGATCAAGTGTTGTTTTGTTTGTTGTTGTTTTATACTGCTGCAAGTGCATTTGTGGGACTTCCACTTGTCAACAGTGTTGACAGTCTTTTAGCTGTAAAAAAATACTGTATTAAACACTTCGAGGGTATATATATTTTCCAAAAGATTTGTTATTGTTTGTGGTTATACTTATTGTTTGTAATCGGAATGGAGCTCAACGAAACTTACTACGCCAATATATAAAATATATTTATATATAAATATTATATAAATATATATATATAAAAATATATTTTTTGAAGGGACCAGACTAACAACTAGCTGTTTAATAGCTGAAAATAGCAGCTATGACATCACAAAATGTTGCTGGCTGATACAAAAATTAATGTTGCAAACGCCAAAAAATGGAGCGACATTGTTGCGATGTGAGTCCGAACCACTAACCAAATAGTATATTAATATAGTAATATATACTATTGGGTTAGTGTCCGAACCTTGCAGGAGAGTAAACCCTTATGAAGCAAGCCAATTTTATGTTATTATATATTTTGAGTGCTTCGAAATATCAAAAACTAGCTGTCAACTAGGTAGTGGCAACACTGATTTTCTTGTTATGTTTATAAAGACATGTAGAATGTTGCATACGTTTGAAAGTAGAATGTATTGCGTTGCCACTTCGTCGATAAAAGTAATAAAGGTGGCGCCACTAAATCGGTATAGGGGGAGCCAATCATTTCGTTGAGATTTGAATTTCATTTGGCTGCCATTAAAAGATAGTTTAATAGTGTGGAAGTGTCCAATTTGTCAAATCAGGCAATGAGGCAGATAATTGGGAATAGAATTAAAAGAATTATACATGGATCAAGTGAAACGGAGGATATTTAGAAACAAAAAGATGAATCATTCAATAGGGTGGGCGACAGCAGAATCTCCTTTGCCGAGTTTTCGCGCCATGAAAGCAGGCAAAGAATTAAGGACTTGTCACAGCATTTAAGGTCATTAAGCGACATCTTAATTTATAAGATTCAGTAGTTTGAGTTCAGGTTAGTTATACAAAAATTATTAGAGTGTAACGTTACGCAACAAGCTAAGAATCAATTAAATCTTATTACATATGAGCACAAATCTAACATTTATACAATCTTTAAATATCTCAAAACACACACATACAGATACATCTACATTTCACACATTAAGAAATCAATTGCAAGTGTTAACTTGAGTCAAATGTCTCTGGCGTTCGATTATGAAAAGCCTCAAGATATGCGACTGGACAATTGAATTGCGATGCGATGCCAATTGAGGAAATGGACCCTCCAAGCAGCCCGGCGATAATGGACAGTAGTAAGCGTTAATTGAACCGCAAGCGATGTGCAACGATAATAAGTGTAATTGGCATTTGAAATGCAGCCCAAATGCAGTCCAGACATCTACAGAGATGCAGAGATACAGCTGCCGCAGCTGGGGCTGCTTGTCCCTCTGTCTGTTTGTCTGTCAAGTGCACTTTGCACTTTGAGGCTGCGGTTGCTGGTCTGTCTGCTGTGTGTTCTGTGGTACGGGTACGGGCACGGGTACGTGTCCGTGTCCGGGTACGAGTACGTGTACGGGTCTGGCTGACATGCCCGCAAAGATTAGTGGCTGTAATTTGAAGTGGCTGCCCCGCCCCTGAGGAGAGAAGAGGAATTTGAGGGTTTTACTTGGGCACAGAGAGGCCTAAAGCCAGTCGCTTGGAGTCTCTGGATGGATGGATGGCTCTTTAGACTGGGGATATGGAACATTCAACTGGGTGTGGGGTGGTGTGGGCGTTTGGTTCTATCGACCCACTTCCCAGGCCCCCAATGTTGATGCCGATTGGCTCTTAGCACACAGAAACACTCCCTCCCCACCCCTTACGATAACAGCCAGTTAACGCTAAGTGTTTTTTCTCGGTAAGTGTTTGCTCGATAAAAAAGAGTGTGTGTAAAGATTCAACAGCGAAATGTGTAGAGTATTCAGCGGAGCAAGCGGAGAAATTAAAAGCGAACGAACATTCGGGCGATAAGTAGGTGCCCATGGGAATAATTATAAATGTTTCGCCGGCTGTGCAGCCTCGGTCTCGGTCTGCATCGGTAGTTTGGGGCACTGGGGATTGGTGTTCCAGCAGCGACTTGACGCCCCCATTATAAACTCTGATTGCAGCCAAAGAGTTTCCATAAAGTAGGGGAATGTGTCTGCTAGGTTTTGTCGGT